CCACTCCCCACTTCCCCTGCCCACTCCCCCCTTCCCCTGCCCACTCCCCACTTCCCCTGCCTACTCCCCACTTCCTCTGCCCACTCCTCATGCCCATTACCCACTCCCCTCCCCATTCCCAACAATTTCTCCTAGTGCCGTCCCTAATGACCCTTCTGGAGCAGTTACTAATTGTGCCTTATCAATTTGTACCAATCCAGTGTTTTAATAAACTGATATTCATCCTCGTTCATAGATGCAGAAATGTCCTTTTTGAAAGGAAAAAGGAGGGTGCTAAAGGTATTTACATTTTACTTATGTTCGAGGGTTAAGAACTTGCTACCGAGGTTGAGATTTTTCATGTTACTGTTTCATTTTGAATTTAGGGAGTTTCATTTTTCATTTCTTTCCAGATTTTCGGCTGGACCCTGATATCGCTGAATTTTGCAAAGCAGACATTCATAAATTTTGCAAAAACATCGCAGAAACCGATAACAGAGGACTAGTGATGAATTGCCTCAAGAAGCAGGTTGAGGTGCGTCATTGAACCACTGCTCCTCTAAAATAACATTAAAGAAAAAAGTCACAGTATAGTTTCAAATGCCCATAGAAGCCGGTTGTCTTTTATGGGCAAGGTAAGGGGGGATTGGCGAGATGAATGATCTATTTGGTCGTTGTCAAATATGAATGCCCGTAAAGCTGATACTAGAATTCGATCAATTAATTAAAGTTGGTTGTTTATAATCAGTGCAACGTCTGTTGATCATATTGGGAAGAAAACGATTACATCCCAGTAAATACACATTGATAGAAACACAGAATTCTGTTTTATTGTTACATATACAAAGTACCCTAACTAGAATGGCTTATTGAGAAAAGACTAAATAAATACTGTTCCTCAGTTTTATTCCCGGCCAGTTTACCTCAATTGTTTCGCATGGAACTTTGTTTTCTTTATCACATCCATGAAGTCATACAGTTTTGAACAAGTTTTCCTTGTATAAAACAAGGGCAGATTATGACTTTCATTTGAAATGACAGGACTATCATCCTTTAAATTGGCAGGGTGGCAGACTGTCAGAGGAATGCAATGACTACGTGAAGTCCCGGATGGAAGAAGCTGCTCTAGATTATCGTCTTGATCCAGTCTTAGAACACGCATGTGCCGACGAGGTTCGCTGTCATTTTTTTAAGCATTTGTTAGCAGTTTTTCATGACGTCATCAAGGCTAAGGATAAATATTGTCTGTTTATAATAGTAATAATAATATCTCGCAAAATCTCCGTTTTGGAGCCGTTACTATAACACAAACACAGAATTACCATGAAAGACGTCATGTGCAGAATAGTACCACAGGCTAATTTTCACTTGAGTTTGAAAAAGTTCAACCAATCTCTCGATTTCTATCAGGCCTTTTGCTTTGCTTTTTAGAATTTGTTCCATTCCTGGAAGGTGTCTTTTGAATTTTTCGCATTGCCATAAATGTTCTAAGTTTTCTTTATGTAATCCACACCTTCTGCAACTTATATTATCATATTTTTTGTATTTGTAATTAGCTTTTTAATCGGTCATGTTTAGTTTCAATTTTAGTAACGTTGGTTCCTTTTTATGTTTTATATGTTCTTTTATTCCAAAATTGCCTTTTTATAATGATCCTCATCTTTGTTTTCTTAACTTGCTGCTTGTTGACTCACCTTTGTTTTTTCTAAAACAGTCAGAAAATACTTCCTTTGATATTTGGTATACTATACCCTATGAAATTTTAAATGCTATTTCACGAACCACCATTTTAACATAGTAGACGATTTTCATATTTCTTTCTGTTCTGTTCTGGCTTATCTGTCTTTTATAAACATCAAAATGATTGTTTGTTAAAAGTCTCTGCCTCCTAGCTGTTTGGTTATTGATTCGTAATCAATGAGCTGAAATCAATTCTTTCCTAAGGTTGGAAAATTTTGTAGCAAAGAAATGAGTGACCGAGGCCATGGTGAAATCGTTGACTGTTTGAAGAGGAACTACAAAAAACTTCTTTCCAAAACTTGTAAAGAGGTCAGTGACACAATATTTTGTCAAGTCAATTGAAGTTTAATGCCCTATTGTCATGTTTTGATGTAGTTTCTGTATGAAGTACAAACGCTATTTTTGCAAGCTATCAATATTTAAATGGTTATTTTATCACATCTTAATCCTTTTTTTGTTATAGAGGCCAAAATGCAGATGCTTTGTAGGTAGAAAGTGGTAATTTCCCCCTTTAGGGATTGCATTAAGTTTTTAACTGAGGATATAGGCCAAACCTTTGGGATAGTAGCCCATTTGCTGAAATGAGGATTTACGGCATTTCACTAGCAACAATCGTTTTTATTAATATTATTGTTATTATTATTAATTTACAGTGTCTATGTATTTAGCATACTGTGAGCATACTGGGGACACTATTTATTACTACCAACAAAAATAAAATTGCTAAGCTGAATTTATCTACAAAGTTTTTTAAAAATGATATAGGATATTGCCTCAGCAGAATAACAACCCAAGAGACGTGGCAAGTAATACATTTATCACCAACACTGTACCCCAAACCATCCCCAAGAACACCACCCAAGTTCAGCCTATTCCCCAGAACCTAACCCCAAGCTAAACCCTGCCCCTAGCACAATTCAACTTATTATATTTCTCTGGTTGCCACCTGCCAAGGCAATAGCCATAAAAAATTACAGCTTTAATTTACAGTTTTTTTGAAAGCACAGCTTACAGATATTTGGGCACATATTCCCCACACAGTCTCCCAACTCTTTCTTTCTAATGTGCTTTTTTTCTTCCTCGTTTAGCAAAGTTTTATTAACCAAGTCTGTTAAAGATGTTGTTTGTTTGTAGGAAGTAAAAAGAATGATAGGAGAGGGCATCACAGATATCCACGCAGATCCACACCTGGTTCAAGAATGTAATATAGATATTCAAAAATATTGTACGCATATTGTAGATGTGGACGGAAAAGGTTAGTTTGCACCTAGATTTGAAATTTCACTTATTTTTGTTTCATTTTGTTGAAATTTTTGAGATCTTGGTCTTTTTATATGGTCTTTTATGGACCAAGGTTGCTCAAATATAAACGTTACTTAAGGTGTTATGATTAATCAGATTTATACTTTCTTTCCAGTTGTAGAATGTCTGTTGGACGTTTATAATTCCAAAACATTAGTGCTTGCTAGTGACTGTAAAAAGCTGATTCGAAAACGAATGGAGATGTGGAGTGCTGTTGATGTGGTAAGCATGCTTTTATGTAACCCCCTGATTCTCTTCTAGACATTCTCATTTTCAGCAGTGATAATGTACAGCACCCCCTTCCCTTTAATACTGCGAGCCTTGTCATTTGTTTTTTATGCGGGACTTGATGGATGATCACTCCATATCTGTGAGGTTTTAAAAGTTTAAAAATACAACTGTCTGATCAGAATCCAGAAAAGTCTTTGTTTTTCATTAACACTGAAAATCTTTCCCGGAGAAACAATAAAAGCTAGGAAGGGTTTGGATATGGCAGCTAAGTGTTTTTTATTGGACTTTCTCATGGTAGTTTACCAGTTACAGCCATGTTGTCTGGGTTTTTGTCTGATTATAGAAACTACAAGTCACATTAAATATATAACTTAAATTGAAAGACAAGCTTTTGGTGTATCGAACAGGACAGTTTTTAGTTGCAATTCCCAGTCTCATGCCAAATGCAACACTGTTGTTTGCAATAATGCTGTTTTAAATTGAAATACGAATTGGAAAGCAGGTGTTGTTATATAATGATTGCGTCACTTTTTTGATGGCATTTTACAGTAAAAGGCATGGTATTCTATGAAAGAAAGAGGGAATAAGGTTTTGAAAAAAGAATTTTTCTGACATGTTTTTATAAGCAAGCGTGTAGACAATTTTGTACTCCATTACCCCGCTCAAAAGCGCATGCGCTTGTAAACGAAAATTCACGATTATGCCATTTTCCAGGGTACGCAAAAACGATTCAGATACAGGCGATTGCGCCTATAAATTAAAAAGAAAATTTTTAACATTAAATTGCATGAGTAATGTTCAAACGACAGAAACTGGATATTATAACAGTTATTTGATAATAACTTCTTCAACGTTGTCCTTCATCAACGTTATCTTCGTCATGTCAGTTTAAACTCATAAAACAATCTAAAGAAATTGATTATGCAAGGAAAATAATCAAGGAATCATTCATACGTTGTGAAAGAGAAAATAGATAGCCATATCGCTGTTTCTTGTCTTTTCATCTTTCTCGCAAAATCATAAGAATGTAATCCACTTATAAGCGCACTGCACTTTAAAATAAGGTGCGCCTATAAGCAGGTGGAGATAAGGTAACACTAGAGTATACCTGCTATGTGGGTCGATTACAAAGTCATGAAATAGAATGTGATTAACATCCCATTGATAACATTGAGAATGGATTGCGCTCATTTTGAAAAGCAGTGGTTTTTTGGCGGCCATTTACAAGTGTTGCTTATAGAAACATGTAACAGGATTGCGATACTTTTTATTATGCACATGTAGCACCAGGCTCAGTTTTGTCACACAATGCCAAATATTACAGCCAGTTGGTCTATACAAAGAAAAGGATACTTTAATACTAGTTTGAAACTTGCTTTGTCTTTCAGCCAGGAACTAAAACTCATTCATCCTTTTTCGTTACAAAATGAGTACAGATATATTAGCAAAACACGCAGTTAGCTGAGGTTGAACAGACAATCAACACCTTTCATGCGTTTTTTTATCGATTTGTTGTTGCACTTTGTTTATGATTGTTTATCAAGATAACTACAAGGCAGAAAGATCTAGGCATTTTATCTCTTGTTGTTATCAGTTCATTTTTTAAAGCTGATGCTTCTGGTGATGTAAATCATGTTTTATTTTTCAGACGGCCAGATTTCAGAGTTTGAATGACGTCATTTCACATGTCCATGCATCACCCAATCGACAGTACATATACACTGTAACCCTATGTATGTTAGCTGTTATTTTTATAGGCGGTCTTTGCTGTGGTCGTATAACTAAGAGAGTAGCTCGAGAGTACAAAGATCGATAAAAAATAAATCCTCAATCCCGGATGATGTGGTAAGGTTGCCTGGCATAACAGTTCTATTCCAGTTTGCAGGAAGTAGAAGTGTAACTAAAGACGTTCTTAAAAACACCAATTAATTTATTAGATTATTTCTATACTTACAATATGATCTACATCATACAAGCTCCAGTAGATCTTTGCAACAAGGCCCTAGTTGAACAACTAAGCTGATATTTTAGCAAATGTAGTGATGAGATCACCACTCTTTCATCACACATACATGTAAACTTGTACTATAATAGGCTTTAGTTATAAAAACTACTTTATACTTGTTACTGTGATTTGTTTCAATAATGTACTGTCAAAGATAACAACTGATTGTTTAAGTCCAAAACAAAAGCTCTAGGCACCACCACTAACTTTAGGCAACTATTTCTTTTTATGTGATATTTTTCGCTTAATACTTTTTGAGAACGGGGACAAATAAAATACACAGAAGCTTTGTTTTTTAAATTCAATGTGAAAAATATGTTGCTACTAATGATGTTTTAATTCTTAATGTTAGATATGTTGCACCATACAAGCCTTTCTTTAAAAAATACCTAAATGAAATAGTTACTAGAGCCTTCTAGAACAGTTCCTTTGCTAGATTTTTATTTATTAGTTTACCAAACAAATACTTGTGTTTTGCCATTTATCTTGAATGATATTCGCATTGGAATGATAGTATCAAAAGTTCTGTTTTTCACTTCACATTTAGTGCTGTTTGATATTCTAAGATAATGAAGTAAGGCCAGAGCAGTTGTTGTGATTTTGATAAAAACTTTCTTTGATTAAAGGAAACATGAAAATACTCAAAATGGCTTTGGAAAAAGCAAACATTTTTCAAAGCCATTTTTAATTCCTGTACCACAAAGAGATTGTTTTTAAAAATATTCCTAGGCTTTAAAATTCTTTAAAAGTAACCCTTCATTTCTAATGTACAAAAGTTCTTTTTGTTATCAATTGAACATTACCTGTGTTTCAGATAATAAGTTAGCTGAGGTCCATAAACCTAATTAAAATGCTATTTCTTTGGGTAGCAAAAGACACCGTAATACTTCTTATATTAAAATCAATCAATTATAATTATAGATCTGTAGATTCTCTTCGTTTGTATTTTAATGTCAAGATTACGTATTAAAATTAGTCTACTAGATGCATATTTGGTTTTGAAATCCTAACCAGAGCCTTTAGAAAATATGTTGTACCAGAGTTGTTTTTGATTGGAAATTTAATTATGTATGAAGCAAAATCTTCAATTCTTTCATCTGAAACAGCCCAACTGTTCAATTGACATGACTTGGATGACAATCTTGAACTTGAGTTCTCGTAAGGTTTATGCAACCAGTGTTAAGAGTTATGAGTTAAGGTCCTTTTGATCATATCAAAAGACCCATAATGCTTAGCAAGTATATTTTTGGTTTTCCTCATTTTTAACTTTGATTGCAAATTCTAATTCTAGTAAGTTTTACCAACAAGGTCACTGAAGGTATACTCTTTTTTGATCAACCGTTCACTGATTTCCCATAACTTTTTGCCAATGTCAGGGTCCTTGGCTTGGTCGCAAGGGTCAACTGCTAAACAATTGCTGAAGTAGTGACCACCTACACTTTCCATCTCTGGTGCTGTTGCACAATAAATTGTTGTTGCTGCTGCTTGAGCCTGAAATTTATAAAAAGTTATCATGCATTGCAAAATACTAGAAATAAGAGAGGTTATCCAAAACTTTGTCCTCTTTATCATCTAACTATTCATTTTTTCAAGGTTTAGAAAATTAAGAGAGTTTTCAAAAACCTCTTATACCTCAAGAAAAATTTCTTCTTTACTACAACCCAGTGATATTTAGTACAATACAGGCTGTATAACCTTGAAGATTTGTGTTTTGCCCTGCACCATTGACAAAAAATTGATGGCAGTTTTGATACTCTGTTTCTGTCTGGAGTTTGGCAAAGAATATGACAAAGAGGACAGATTAAGGCAAAAAAATCCAACCAGTTAAAAGTTATTGCTCCAAAACTTCCCTTTACTAAACATACCCATAAAAATTTGTCAGTTTTCTGCTATTTATTAAGCAACTGTCTATATATTTGCATTTATGCTCCTTTCTTCCCACGTTTTCCTTTCATTGATAGTTTTTTATATCCTGATCCCTTCCCTTAAATATTTCTTTCCTTTCTATTTTTTTTCTTTCTTCTTTCAATCCTGTCTAGTTTTTTGTCTTTTCTGTTGTTTTAGAACAGCTTCTCAGGGACCAAAAGGGTTGTTAAATGTAAAATGTAATGATGATGATGATGACCAATGAAACAACCACTTTGCTGCCCTACAGAACATCATCTGGTTGTTATTATGATATGAAAATTTAAAAGTCGAAAAAAATACCTTTGATTTGGTGAAAGGGCGTGCTATTAAAAAGAGAAGCGTCCTCAGAAAAGAATTTCTTTTGATGTTTGTGTACACAAAATTGCCAGGGTGGACTGCATTGCACACCACATCATGCCCTGAAAGGCGTCTGTTTAGTTCATTGGAGAATATCACATTGCAGAGTTTTGATTGATTGTATGCCAATATTGACCAGTATTTATCTTTGTGAATTGGTATCTGTGAAAGGTCCATAGATGTTGAATACAAGTCAGGGTATCTAAAGGAAAAAAAAGAAAGAAATTCCAATAAAGTTTGTGAGAAAAGCATTTGGCTTTTTCAGCATTTATGGAAAGACAGTACACTGAAACCAAATCCTTTACCCGGCAATTCACTTTACTTGTCACAGCTACTTCTGAAATGCAAGTATACTAGGGTGGTAAACAACATTACTTATACAAAATTCACAAATATAAACTGAAACTCTATAATTGTAACACTATGTTTTTGTTAGCAATTCTTGATGATGTTACATTTTATCTATGGATGAAATCAAAGAACACAAGAAGAAATAATTTACCTGTGAGATTCTGAAGATACCACAACAACTCTTGAAGGAGCTGATTTGCGTAGAACATCTGTCAGTAATTGTGTGAGATAAAAGTGCCCGAGGTGGTTGGTAGCAAAATGCATTTCAATGCCATCGTCTGATTCCTGATAAGGTAGACCAAAAACACCAGCATTGCAAATCAAAATGTGCAAAAGCCTGCAACAGAGAAAGATACAAAAATACACAAGACAAGACAATAAGAGAAAACAATGAAAGGTAACATTGTTATCTAAAATTGTTTTTTGACCAACATGTTTAATTTTCATAAAACATGAAAATCAATAAAAGTGTTCCTTACAGGCTTTTTGGAGAGAGAAGAAAATATAAAAAATTATTAAGTGAGGTTGCATTTATTAGGAAACAAAGATGATAAGTAGTGAAATTTCACTAGATGGTTAAGGCTAGAGATATAACTTGAGATGATTCATACCAGTTTTTTGATTTGTACTCCTCAGTGAATTTCCTGATACTTTCAAGTGAAGAAAGGTCTAATTGCATTACATGGATAGGCACACTGATCACCTTAAAAAGATGTAAGTTATAATGATAAACCTCAAACTGGAGTTAAAGAGTTGTCAAGGTGTATCTTGATGATAAATCCAAATAGGAAAAAGGCTAGGTGCCTATATGTGTTGTTACAAGGCAAACTGTTTGTCCTGTACCTGTTGTGTGTTTATACCAAGCAAAACCAACAGGATTTGGAATGAGATTACATTATTTTAAAGGTGTCCCAAATTAAGATATGTTGGTAAACTTCCTTACAATTGTAAGTGCTTATCTTTTTACAATAGAACAAAAACAGAAGAAATAAAAAAGTTTGCTTCAAAATTTACTTGAAGACAATGGACTAGAGGTAATTTTGAGCTTTAAGATATCTTCTGGTTAGAAAAAAGACCTGTGAAGCATGGAAAATTGTACCTCTTTCATTTTTTTAAAATAAATGCCCCACCTTTTACAAACACCCTCTCTAATAAGCTTTAACCTACATTTTATTCAGCCACTTATTGATAACCTGATGCTCATCACCCATATTTACCAACCTGCACTTTCCTGATACTTTCAGCAGCCTTTTCACCTTTACCCACATCTCGGCAAGCCATCACAATGTGACATCCATGCAAGGACAAAGCTTTGGCTGTTTCAAATCCTTTGAATATCAGATAGAAGGAGTACAATACATATCCTTAAAGTACTTAGATAAATTAAATACAGAACTTTTTCCTTTATGCTATAAAGAAATAGTAAACTGAAATTAATGGACCTTAACACCAAGAGAAATGCAACATTCAACACAATTCAAGAAAAACATATATTACATTGGCAAAAAGTTTCTGTCATTTTTTTCATCCTATAATTTTAAAAATACTGACATCACACTGGCAGCTTACAGCTGGTCATTTAAATGTCTGTCAAACAAAATAAAATTGAAAATTTCATATATGTCCAGGCTTTCGTGGGAAAAATATAGCAGCCGTGCTAACCACCGCACCCCTGAAAACATCCAGGCGTGTGATGGCGTGTGACATTTTTTCACAAAACATTTTGGTAATTATGGTAGATCTACGGAGAAATGGCCAGAACAAAAATGATGACAGCAAAAATTTCAATGAAATTTACTTCGCTGAATTCTTACCATGACTACTTAAATTTTAGCAATTGAGCAATTTTCTAAACAAGTATAAACTGAGCTTATTTAATATATCCAAAAAAACGGCACTACAAAAATAGAAATATGTTTGCCATGTCGTAAGCAGTTTTCATTAGCTTCAATTATGAATCCTTAGCAGAATCATTGATGCTTTGGCGTTCATCTGGTTGTAATGGCAGTTTTTTCGTGTAAATCAGTGCATCGAGAGCCCTTTGTTATCAAACATGACAGCTATTTTGTGTACCTCACTGGCCAGATGCATAAAAGATAATTATGGCCCAATTTTCATTAAATCAAATGTTGCTAAAATCTAGATTTAAAGCATAGCGATGTCTAAAGAGGGGGCTGTAGGGGGTAGCGAAATCCAGCAAATCCTCTGTTATTTTTTTCCGCATCATTGGCAAATCGGCTCCTTTTTATCGCATAATCGGCTACTTTGGTACATTAGTCATAAAAAAAGAAAGTCTTGTTCAAAACACTTAATGTTCCTCTTAAAATTCGGGGACAAAAATGTCTGTTATAGTCTTCTGTGTTTGGATTTGTTCAATGAAATGCCTTAAAGCCTTGAAAAAGTGTAAACGTTTGCACAAATTCTTCTCCTTTTTTGCATCATTAAAAGTGCATGTTTTCCAATGTATGTTTTGTCGCTGACAATAATGACTCCACCGAGAAATAGTTATAAATATACACCGGGAATAAGTAGACCAAAATAACGGTAAAGGTTTTGGAAAAGTTCGTCATATTGAGGAAAATTATGATGAAGAGACTAAATTAGTTTCGTTATAACGAGAATAACGAGAAACGAGAGTTGTGCAGAGGTAGAGTTCAAGGGGCCAGACATTTTTTGTCATGCCGGAAAATTAGTTATACTTGTAACCAGGTCAGGTTTCATAATATCGGGATTCCACTGTAGATTAGTTCTATAATTATTTCAAAATTCAATATTTAATCGGCAATCCTGAAAAGGTGTTAAGCCTTTTTGAAGTGGCATGAAGTAATAGTACCAAGGAGGGATCAATTTATTAACTCATCTCAAAAACCCACAAAACCAATAATTATGAATTTTGCTCCGATAATAAAAGAAGGCGTGCGATGTTTTGCACTCCTGGAAAGCAGCAGGCGTGCGCCAGGGCGTGCGCGTGCGATCGCACGCCTTTCCGACGAAAGCCTGATGTACAGTAGCAGTGCTATAATCGATACAGCCATCATATCATCTTGAAAAGTAACCGACTTACCAATACCAGAGTTTGCACCAGTTATAATTGCAGTCTTGTTAGAAAGATCCTGACCTCTCAAAACTTCCATTGCAGTACTTGAGGAATCAAACTTCCATTTCCCTTTCTTTTTGTCACTTATTGATAGGGCAAGCCTTGGGTCAACATATGTTGTTCGTTTGTTGACAACACTTGAAACAAAAAGCATGGACTTCATCATTAATAGAAAAGCAGCAACTTTATAGCCTGTGCTCCAGACCCCTAGCTTGAAAGTAGAGGGTCTGTGTAACCGAGAGCAATATCACATGTGAGGTTTGAATTGAATTATTTGCATATTCATCCAGATCTGTGTAATTATGCAAGAAGAAGCAGTCATATTGCAAGACGGTTGTGGCAGTATGATACAGATGATTTGTTGAGAGAGAAATTTGAAGATGCCGCTCAGATATTTATTTCTTTTGGCTATTTCCAGCACGTTTCCAGCAAACTACGCTGTGTTTACACCACTGATCATTTTGTCATGTGAATGCCGCATATGCATAATGAATTTTCCCAGATATCCTGGGAAAATGCTTGTATGCAATTTTGCTCTCGGTTACACAGACCCTCTATTTTCAAGTATGGGCTCTGGAACACAGGCTACAACAGAAAACAGAGTAACACAATTCACGTTGTAAAGAACTGGCTAAGTTAGTGTTGCAGAGTTCTCATTAGTTATGGTTATTTGACACAGAAAACTATTCATCATCAAAGCCACATATCACTTTCTACATACTCCATATATATCACTTTTCCTTCTTCATCTTTCCCAATACTCCAGCCAAATGGTAACTCTATGAAAAACCAACAGTAAAATGAAAATAAACAGAACTCATTGAAATTGCAGATTTAGTGTCAGTATCTAGAAAGACACATATGAATGAATTAGTGCAGTGAATTAATGTATGAATATGTAGCAGGTGGCCTCTCAGGCTAGGAGTTATCAGCTGATATTTAATTGAGATGCCAAAAAGTAGCCTTACTGTTCTTCAGTTCATATTCAGTTTGCATGTAACATCACACTTCTAAGATCACAGTACAAAAAGTAGGGAAGCATACTAATATTATGTAATTATGACAAATCTGCAGTGATGTGTTGTAAAACAAGGACACACTTTCCTTAGCAGTCCGCTATTAAAAAGAGAGCACCACCTTAGCTAAAAGCAAATTATGCTGAATACTATAGCTCTGTTTAGCATAGATTTGTATACTAATTTTACTGCTCACCTTCCCTAAGAAACTTTCGCCTGCTATTCTTTGGATGCTGCCACTGAGTAGTTTTTGAATTGTGGCTGTAAATGGAATATAAAGAGCATCAGAGTAAATTGCTTTGAATGGAACATTAACACCTTGCAATCTATAAATGTTAAATTCAAAACAAGCAAAACTGCTGTTTCTGCTTAGATTGCCTATTGATTGATTATGTATGGAGCGTTCTCAAAGAGCCTTGTTCGCAATGTCCTACGGATTTGGTATATTTCTGATCATATTTGATGCTTTCATTTGTTTAAGTTTTTATATTGTGCAGTAACGATGGCAGTGCTACAGAAGCAAGAGAAGCTTTATGGTTGTTTCTTGGCCTGATCGGTATAGCTGTCATCCAAGACATTATTAGATTTTAATGTGAAAACAAGTTAGGTATATTGCAACTTCTAGTTGAGATAACACTGACCTATTGATACTATGCACGTTATATCTGGGGCAGACTGTTGCAAAATGTAAAGAATTGTACGACAAAAGGCCGCAAGTCTAGAGATTGTTGTAGATTCCCGGATTCTGCAGTAGTCTGCAGACCATTGCAGTTTTCAGTGCTAGTTAGAAAAAACTTACTCCACATAATAGACTTTGCCGTCCTCAGTAACTCTCATTTCCCATCCAACGGGTAACTCATCATCGCTATCCGACATCAACGCTTCAACCTCCGGAGGATCGGACGCCATCTTTATTTTGCTCTGTTACCTCTTTTTGAAACATTATGTCTCAGATAGATGAGGAAGTGAAGGAAGGGGGGGGGGGGGGGGGGGGAATGCTCAATGCATGTGAACATAGAAGGTAAAGAGGGAGATGATTGGGGGAAAGCCTTAATTTTTCAGAATTAAGTCCTCCCAATTTGTGATTATATTATATTGGCAAGGGATGGTAAAGAAAGGCCATTGCGAAAGGATTGCAAAAAGACTTGCACAAAACTATTTTATTGATAAAAAATGAATCCATCGTGCAAAAAGATTATATCAAGTATCTGGGAGTTCTACTGGATCAAAACCTAAGTTGGAAAGAGCAAATAGATAATACTAACTTGAGAACCTTACCTCCAGAGGTATAAGCCCCCCGAACCCCCCTAGCACTTCACCCCTGGATATAAGCGACAGTAGACAAGCCACAATCTTCTTTCAGTTCTTGAAGAAACTTCCTCTCGACAACATTAACCGACTAAACAAGTAACATATTAAAAAACTACAGTCTCCTTCAAAAGTTCCAACTACAAAAGCGTTTTATAACATGCAATGGAATAACAATTTGGAATGACATAACGATTCACATAAGAGAGAGGAAAATCCTGTTTTGGAAACATTTTAAGAAATCAGCCCTTTCTTCATCATCATCATCATCAGTAACGGAAGGGTCAAGGCTGACCCGCCGTGGCACACGCAATGGTTGTCCGCCAAGTGTCCCTGTCTTGCGCCTTCCGAAGCAGCTCGGCCATGGTCATTCCCAGTAAATCTTCCACGTCGTTCTCCAGTTTCCTTCGTGGTCTTCCTCGTTTCCTCTTTCCGTCCACCATTCCCGAACGAATGTCATTTCCCAAGCCTTTACTTCTCGCAACATGGCCAATAAAAGATAACTTCCTTTTGTTGATGCTGTTTATGAGGGTTGCTTGGCCGATCCTTTCCAGGACCCATTCGTTCGTTTTCCTTTCTCTCCAACTTGTACGCATAATTCTTCTGTAACACCATATCTCGAAGGACGTCAGTCTGTTCCTTTCTTCATAGTCAATAGAAAATCTAATAGACTGGTTCCAATTCCAAGAAATTATAAAACAAGGGGCATTTTTTAGTAGAAGCTGGGATCCAGTTGATTTTGGGTATTTCGACCATGCTGATTACGAATTTTGAGGATCCCAAGCGAAATTAGCTCATTTAAGGGCTTAATTTGCACATCAAAATGGCTGCCAGTCGAAATCTTCAAAATGCTGCCAAGAAAATCCATGACACTGCATTCGAATAGGATATTCACTAATATTGCTGTTATGAGGATAGAACTTGGTAAAATGGTGTACAGCAACATAATCTACCCAACAGGGAACTTTTTAAATTTTTCATTACATCCATGACGTCATTTTGATGTCATAATTGAAGAAAATGGCAGAATTTGCCACCTATTGGTAATATCTCAGTTTTAATTATTAAGTCCTTTTATAGTCTCTAGAATGTATCAAAATGCACCAAAAAGTAAAAATCAGAGATATGATTCCCATCTAAGCTTATTATCTATATCGCTTATTCATGGTTTATTTACACCAATTTGTCATTGTTTCATTTAAACCCCTAATTACTGGTGCAAATACTCTAAAATGTCTTGAATTTACTTTTAAAGATAAAGAGAACCAATTTGGGCTAGTAAAGTTGATCTATTACATTTTCTGTGATTTACATGACGTCATAAATACGATGACGTCATTAACTTAAAAATTGTTCACGCCATCAAAAATTGAAAAGGTCATGCAACATTTCAAAGGTCTCATCGAAATCAGTCGAATGGTAGCATTCTCGATGATCTATGATCCTCCGGCAAAAATTAAACTCATTGATTTGGTTTTCTAGCTGGTTAGTGTCTACCATTTAAAATAAAATCTTCCAGTTTTATTTAGCCCATTTAATTTTAGGAGAAATGGCAAACTTTCGGCTCTTCATTTTTCGAACTAACGACAAGTTTATGTATGACAATTTCTCAAATGAAATTTTCTCCCAAGTAGTAATCGGGTGAAATGTCAACATTGAATATTCAAGTGGCTGAACACGTTCCTTTTGTATATCCAGTTCTACTATGCTGCATTTTTGTGAAGATCTCTAACGTGTGTCCAAGCTTGAATCTAATCGATTATAGGTCAGTTGAATTCGTTGTTTTCAGCTTTGCTGCATATGCCACACAACTTGCTACATTACAGGCCTTGCGCAAATTAACACTATCTTCTGACTAATAATTCTTGAGAGTTGTTAAAAAAAACAGTTGTTGTTTCACTTGAAACTTCATTGCTAATTTTTGAAGATTCTTCTCATGTTGATATGCGCAAGGCCTGCAGTGTGAAGCTTGACCCTACATTAAGAGTTGAAGGAGTGTCTGATCTAAATCTTAAAGCAAACTAAGCTATATGAGTTTCTGCATCGTATGTTACATCAACAAAAGATGATCTCCAGAGAAGCAGCAGGGATGGCTTCACTGTCATTAGAATCGGCTTTAATCGATCTTCAAAAAGCTCCCATCCGAAATCTGTAGGTGACGGTAAGTCTTGATGCGGTGATCCAGCTTGTTTCCATATCATTGCTTGGAAGTGTGCTCTTCTTATGTGAAGATGTGCCACATCAATTGTTGGAGGCAATGCCTCGGGTTTTGTTTTCTTGAAAAATAGAACGTGTCGGGCTTCATTTGTGGCCTGCACCAAATCCGTGGCAAAAAAGTTTCCTGCTTTCCGCATAATACATGTTTTGCAAGAGTTCATGCGACTCTTTAAAAACTTTACATGCAGATGCCTTTGTACTCCCAGACAAGTACGAAGTTGTATCACATCCAATAAGGTTGTGAAAGGGGATGAGTGCTTGAACAGATATCTCTGGCAAGGCGTGAAGAATCTCTTTGACTGGAATATAAAGCTTTGTTTTCTGGCAATGCAAAGAAGTTTGACCAGAACTTTGGAAGAGGTACCAAACCGCTCTCTTTAACTCGGCGAACAGGCCGGCTAGTTTTTTTCCGCCTTAGTTTGGTACTAGTTTAGATTGATAGTTGTCTATAGCGGTCAAAAACAACATCGATTCTCTGGTAGCGTTTACCCATTTGAAGCACTGCTAAATCTCTGGTAGCGTTTACCCATTTGAAACAAATGTGTCTGCTAAATCACGAAACGAAGAGCAACCATTTGGTTTGCCTAATAACACCACTAGAGCCTGACCATCGATGATTAAGCACGCTGTTATTCCATGAAGATCGATACTCTCTAGACAATTGATGCTATCCGCTAGCTTGTCAATAAGAACAGACTTGCTTCCAGTCCGAAGAGAACAGTTCATTTCAGTGAGAGATGAGGAACTGGCATCAATTCATGAGAAAGCACACTCTTAAGATCAATTTCACGGCTGCCTTCATAAGCAGTGATCAGCCGCATGAGGATATTTCGATCGGCCTTGAAAATCGTCTGCTTCTCCTTGTAGTTTGAATATATTGGAACTTCATATAGGCTTTGAAAGGTAAGCGCTCTGCATCTTTCTAATGGTTCGTTGAAGGATATCATGGGCTCTGTGTCAGACGGTGTCAGTCTGTGCGTGACAAAGCTTAAAATTTGTTGCTGACCAAGATCGGCTGCATGCAACAAAGATTTTTGAATTTCTTTACTTTTTCTTTATTTGCTATATTCTACCACTTGCCAGAACTTTATGCGGTTCGGAGGGTCCCTTGGTTATACCTTGAAGTTTTTTGACCGGCAGCCATTTTGAATATGCAAATTAGGCCTTTAAATTAGCGAATTTCGCTTGGGATCCGCCAAATTCGTAATCAGCATGGTCGAAATACCCAAAATAAACTGGATCCCAGCTTCTACCCGAAAATGCCTTATGATCTCTTTTTAAGAACTATTTTAGAGAAATGGAACCAGTCTATAATACGTAATCTGATATCTACCAACTAAATATCCAACCTTTTTTCCTATTTATATACTTTTTTCTTTGTTCTTTACATTTTGTTTTACAAGCTATTGCTGCTGTTCTGTTTTGTTTCGTAGATATTGCAAATTTAAATTAAATGGAACTCTTGCAAATTTAGTTTTTTAGTGCTTTGGAAAAAGGTTTTTGTCGCTATAAGGAAGAAGGGTTTAGAAATGGTTGATTGAGCAAGTTTAATAGGTTGCACAATTTTATTTTTGCTTATATCTTGAAGAGAAACAGGATCTAGAAATAGACCCTTAGAGACTGGACTTTATCGGTGTCTTCATGTTTTCTAATAATTCTTTTGTACGGTAGTAAATAAAATACTGATTAAAAGAGGCTAGTTAAAGTTTTCAACACTAACTAAATTGCCACTTATTGTTCAGGACCTGCGTCCTGCGCCACTCACCCTATAATGAAGGGACAACCCATCTAATGAAAGCTTCCTCTTACCATTTCTAGCCCCAGGTTTGGCAAATTTTGTCTCAATTTGTTGTAATCAACATGCTTATCTATATAAATAATTTAAACCTTAATAGTATGAGCCTTGGATAGTGGACGATATATTATAAATAAAAATCATATGTTTTAGTTAAGCATAAATCTGTTTCAAACAGAAGAGCCCTAAAAACCCAAAAGCAATGATATAGAAGCGCCGAAGGCGCTAGATGTCTAATTCACAGGTCCGCTGTGAGGCAAATTTGTTTACTTCCGCCATTTTGAATAGTGGCAAAAAGGAACTTGCTCCATACCGAGCCCTTATAAATTTGGTAAAAGTAAGGATTGATTTCGTTCACTTCTCTTTCGAATATCGATGTGAAATTTGGTGAGTGGCCTTATATTGCATTTAAACTTATGGATTGATGTTAATATTGGAAAAATAAGCCGTCGTTCGCAAATTCCAAGCATTTACAGTCGCGGTGCTTGCTGTGGTGTTTTCTGTCTCGTCGAAATTCCAGAAAATAATGATTGATCTGTTTTAAAACGGATCCAGCAACAATGTTTAGCCACTCAATGCATAAATTTCTTAAAACATTTGTACAAAGATTTGATTTAGTTACTTTTTCTTTG